CATATACATATATATATATATATATATATAATATATATATATATATATATATATATATATTATATATATATATATTATATATATATATATATAGCACACACAATATGACGCCTCACAATACATTGAGAATTCCTCGACGCATATTCATTCAAAAATATTAACTTTCATATAAAACACTCGCTTCTCTTTTGACGTCTAACAGAAAGCAATTATACAGCTTTCTTTTCAATGGAAGTGTAACAAAAAGTTTGCCAGGAAGAAATGAAAATAACGTGCTATTTCTCTCAATTCCTTTATTCATTTTGCGGGTTTTCCTCTTTCTTATCTGTAACTTCCACCATCCATTTCTAATCAGTTATCCACGTTTGATACCTGTTCTATTATATCATATATTTACTTTAAGATTTGGTATTTCGATCACGTACAGTGTGACAAGTTAATAGTTCTATCATTCCCATTATCATTCGCAACAAAGAAACACATGAACTGTTCATCCACAGATATCTTATATTTTCCTTTTTATCATCTTTAACTAATTTATAAGGATAATCATGTTAATGGGACAAAATCCTGAGCTGAACGCAATAACAACATTTCTTAGTTAATCAGTTAAGGTATTTCCTTTGAGGAAGCTAATATTATAGACATGAAGATACGTCGACACACGGTGCCCAAGTCGTCAATGTATGTGTAGCAAAGTTCAAGCCTCAGAAAATTGCACGTTCTGTAGATCATCATGATCATTATCATTATTATTTTAGGTACTATTATCATTATTACTATTATTATCATTATTATATTATTATTATTGTTATTATTATTATCATTATTATCATTATTATCATCTTTATTACTATCATTATTATCAATATCAAATCCTATCATTATTATTATCATTATTATTAATATTATTGTTCTTATTATTATTATTAGTATTACTATTAGCATTATTATCATTGTATCATCATTATCACTACTGTCATTATTATTATCAGTATCATTGTTATTAATGTCATTATTATCGTTATTATTATTTATCATTATTATTGTCATTATCATTATTGCTGTTATTATTATTGTTGTTATTATTTTTATTATCATTATGTTATTATATCATCATTATAATCTTCATTATTATTATCATTATTATTATTATTATTATTATTATTATTATTATTATTATTATCATTATCATTATTACTATGATTATTGTTATTATCGTTATTACTAATGTTATCATTACCATCATTTTTATTTTCATTATCATTTTTTATTACATTTTATTATAATTGTTGTTGATGATATTATCATTATCAGTATTGTTATTATTACCAATAATATCATTATTGTTTTGATATACTATCTTTATTGTTGTTATCATTGTCATGTATTTTATCCATATTATTTTTTACCATTATCATTACTATCATCATTATCATTTTTCTGTTATCCTTATTATTATCTTTAGTATCATGATAACCATTTTTGTTATTATTACTATCATAGTGATAATCATAATTATTACTATTATCATTCTTATTATTTCTTATATCATTATTATTATATCATTATCATTATTATCATTATTATTATCATTGTTGTTGTTGTTGTTGTTATTATAATCATATTATCATTATTATTATTATTATCATTATTATTATTATCATTATTATTATTATTATTATTATTATTATTATTATTATTATTATTATTATTATTATTATTATTATTATTATTATTATTATTATTACTCTGTTATTATCATTATTACTGTTATTGTTATTATCATTACAATTATCATCAACATTATTATTACTGTTATCATTGTTGCTGTTATTCTTATGATTATTGTTATCATTATCATTACTGTTAGCATCAATAACATTATCATTGTCGTTATCATTATTATCCTTAAAACAATCTCCTTTACGTGGCATGGGCTCGCAGCATGTTCTGGTTCATTTCATAAGAACAGTGATTGAGTTCAATATTCACTTGTTGTGCTCTTGTTATTTAATTACAGTCGTTTAGTTTGGATAAGAGTAGCAGTATCATGTTGGTATCAGTTGCAGTAGAAGTAGGATAGTTCTGTAATGATGAAAGTGGTAATGATGATAATAGTGTAGAATAAGAATTGTGATGGTTGTTTAAGTAGTAGTGGTAGTAGCAGTGATAGTAACAATTGTAGTAGCATTAGAAGTGGTGACAGTAATAGTAGCTGTAGTAATAATGGTAGTAATGGTAGCAGCAATAGTAATAGTATGAACGGTAGCTTTTGTAGTAATAGTAACTTTAGTAGCAATGTATAGTAGGGTAGCAGTTGTAATAACAGTAGCAACAGTAGCAGTAGTAGTAATAGTAGTAGGGTAGCAGTAGAAGTGGCAGCAGTTTCCGCAGCAGTAGGAGTGGAGGAGCAGTTGTATCAGAAGTAGGTGTGTTCTTAGCACGGTTTCTCATATGATAAAAATTGTGTTCTTTCAATCTAGGACCTTTGTTCTCAATCGCCACAGAGATTACCCAGTTATCTTTAATGAAATGCCTTCATTACAGATAATCGGGCAATCATTGTGATCTGTCCATAATTTTATCCTTATTTTCAATTTATATTATTTCAATCCGTTTAGCAATACCATTAGTGTCAGCTTAATTGATTAAACTTATTAACCTTTCACACATTTCTTTCTTCATTTACTATTATGCTTTCTTATCATCCAGCGTTTTGTTTGCGGTTATCTTTTTATTTGTTATGCACTGTATATAGGAGATAGTACGAGAGAGAGAGCGAGAGAGAGAGAGAGAGAGAGAGAGAGAGAGAGAGAGAGAGAGAGAGAGAGAGAGAGAGAGAGAGAGAGAGAGAGGGAGGGAGGGAGGGAGGGAGAAAGAGGGAGGGAGGGAGAGATAGAGAGAGGGAGAGATAGAGAGAGGGGGGGGGAGACAGACAGACAGAGTGAGAGAGGAAAAGAGAGAGAGAGAGAAAGAGGGAGGGAGGAGGGAGAGAGAGAGAGAGAAAGAGGGAGGGAGGGAGAGAAAGAGGGAGGGAGAAAGAGAGCGACAAATAGATAGAGAGAGAGAGAGAGATACAGGGAGAGAGAAAAAAGAGAGTGACAGAGAGAGAGAGAGTGAGAGAGCGATAGATAGACAGAGAGAGAGAGAGAGAGAGAGAGAGAGAGAGAGAGAGAGAGAGAGAGAGAGAGAGAGAGAGAGAGAGAGAGAGAGAAAGAGAGAGACAGACAGACAGACAGACAGAGAGAGACAGAGAGAGTGAGAGAGCGACAGATAGACAGATAGAGAGAGAGAGAGAGAGAGACAGACAGACAGACAGACAGACAGACAGACAGACAGAGAAAAAACAAGAGAGAGAGGTACAGAGAGAGAAATGAGAGAGAGAGAGAGAGATGCAAAGGAGAAAAAAAAGGTGAGAGAGACCTCGTCCCACTTGACACTTGAACATCACTCTTGACACATCGCTCTTGACACGGCATGAATGGGCCTCCGAGGGGGCCAATAAATCAAGCTTGACAAATGCTGATGCGTCTCCTCCTGCCATGTGACGTGAGGGTCGAGGCGGGAAGATGATGTGCGGATGCTCTGTGGCTAATCAGGGGCTCTATGAATGCTCTGTGGCTAATCAGGTGCTCTATGAATGCTCTGTGGCCGATCTTTGAGGTCGCTGAGGACGAGGGAGAGGGCGACGAAGGCAAGAGGGCTGGAGGGCAGAGGGGAGGGAAGGTAAGTAGTTGAGAGCCAGGGAGAAGGAGGGAGAGGGGTGACAAGTGGCCTCCGTCTACTTAGGCTGCGTGTGTGTGACCACGGAACTACTAATGGGTTCGTTGGTTCTCTCACACATGCTCGGGAATGTGTGTTCGTTTTGGAGGAAACGGGACGGAAGGGTAAAGATTTCATATCTATAATACACGTCAACACTAATTAATCGCCAACAGAACACTTATCTTTCATAGAGCGAATCCCCCCCACCCACCTCCAAAAACAAAACAAAACAAAACAAAGTTTGTCTGGAGACACTCAGGTATGATTTTGTTATTAGGCTGAACAAAATGAATAAAGAAAAAATAGTGTGCTGCTTAAGAAAAGAGAGAGAGGGAGAAAGAGAGAGAGAGAGAGAGAGAGAGAGAGAGAGAGAGAGAGAGAGAGAGAGAGAGAGAGAGAGAGAGAGAGAGAGAGAAAAGGAACGATCGATTCTAAACGTTAGTCATCAGTTTCAGAATGTCTAGCCCTTTTCGAACTAAAAGAGGTGTTATATCGGAATTATGTCGCAGTCTACCAATATTCATTCAGCATATAATTTTTTGTCAGATCTTTAGACTTTCTTGCTTCTTCCATTACATGTGATATAACATAGTAATACCTGAGTAAAGACTGTTAATCTTTTTCTCCAATAACCAAAATAAAAAAAGTCTTGGACAGCAATCCGTTACCTCTCTCAAACTTTAACCATATAACTTCTCTTTCATTAAAATTTTAGTCGGTTTCATCCGCGGAGAAAAATAAATGAAACCACTGACTGATAATCACAGAACAGCAGGTGGCTGCTCTCGGCTGCATGGCGTGGAAGGCGAATTGCAACATCACTTAATATTGAGAATAATCACGAGTGTGAAAATAAATCCCTCGTATACAGAAACCTCAAATCCGGGTGTTTACAAATATACCGTTCCTGTTTAGGTTGAACACCGCTCCTTGTTGCATTACATACTCTTATTTACATGTGTGTGTATGCATGTATGTATTTGTGTGTGTTCTGTTTTGTATGTGTATACATGTATGTGTGTATGCATGTATGTATGTGTGTGTGTGTATGCATGTATATGTGTGTGTATGCATGTATGACTGTGTGTATGCAAGTATGTGTGTCTGTGTGCATGTATGTGTGTAGCATGTATGTGTGTGTGTATGCATGTATGTGTGTGTGTATGCATGTATGTGTACGTGTGTGTTTACTTGTTTTACATAATCCACGGCAATCCGTCTTGATAACTAAT